GAAGGAAGGAAGGAAGGAAGGAAGGAAGGAAGGAAGGAAGGAAGGAAAAGGAGAATAAACAATCCTCAAGTTGTATATTGCGGTAGCAGGGTTTCCAATCACTAGCACGATACAATGAACAGACCAAGAATCCAGAATGGATTATTACATACAATAATTATCATTTGATTGAATTAGGAAATGGATCATTGTTGTCATTTTAGAGTATTAAGAAGTGGTCTGGTGTTGCTAACTTCAATTTGGTTCGGTTTGGTTTAATCCCAACAACCTCAAATATATACAACAAGCTGAATGAAGGTTAATAGACTAGAAGATTATGCACTTTGTAATGCATTGCACTTATTGCTTGGTACACTAATGTTGCAGTCACTGTTGAGTTATGCTGAAAAGACAAGCGTGATGCTTGTTGGCTTCTTTCAACCCAACACTAGTTGTTTGCCACTTTGGTTTATTGTGAGTTTATATTCAGTGTCCATTATTAATAGGTTTAATTGAAAGACAAATACAGGTTTTTTTATTATTATTTCAGGGATTTCTAAAATAGGAACATTTTCTATAATTACAGTATTTTCAATAAACTTATATCTATGTATATAACTGTGGCACAATGTGTAAAAATATGAATGCTATTAAGGGAAGCATAAGGGTTAAATTATTCTATGTTACCTCTATTGGTTTCAAAATATTCTGAAAAACAGATACATCCTTTTTCATAGGGCTTCTCTTTGGAATTTTTTTATAAGACTATATCTTTTTCTAGTTTATAGTGTGTTACTTTTTTCTCTTTAAAGACATGGGTACAAACTTGGAATATTCCGCAAAGAAATAGTAATAAAGCTTCTTTTTTGATAAAGAGATTTGACGGTCTGCATGAACAGTCAGACTTAACATTACATTTTTTTTCTATTAGTTGATAAATGCAGGGAAGAACATGACAAGGCTTATAATTTCATAAGAATCCGTGCAGAATAGAAATAAGAATTTGTGCCCAAACATTCAGTATAAAACTCCTAAATAATTCCATTATTCATCACAGAGTAGCCTGCAGCATGTAATCACAATAAACATACAATATGCCCTATATGTTCTTTTAGGCTTGATACAATTACCATTAAAGGAACTGGATCAGTCCCCTGTAAATGCCTAGGACTCAACCTTCCTCCTTTAAGAAAGTTCTTGTCTTAGACTAAACATACAATTCCTACATTGCACTGAGTAAACGCGTGTATTTAACACAATCTCTTTCAATACAGTGTAACAAATATTTAAGTGCATTTTTAATGCTAAGTAATTTTGGCTTTCTAAAAAGAGCATTAGATGTGCCAACTTGGTTGCTTAGTTGTGCTTTACTCTGTACTTATGAGTTTTATCTCTTGTATACTGTAAGAATCTAATTGCCCCTATAGTTTTGACCAGTAAACCCTTAAAACTCTAATGTTTATTGAACAAATATAACCTAATGAATGTGATGACGTCACAACTCATACAGATTGCACTTTAATGGTTTGTTGTTTTTTACAGTAAGACCTTCCCGCTTGATATGTGTTTACGTTTATACCACATTGTATTTCTGTATGCAAACAATCACAATGAATTTAATCACAAGCACTACAAAATATACCCAATATTTAGGTTTGTTATGAATAATCTCCTTCCTTGTAGTTGTATGAGTCTTGTACTTCCTGTTGTACAAATTCCTCTTTTTTCTCCCAACCATTAGGCCAGCCACCGTTGACTTGGGTTGTAGCACCATACGACTTGGTGGTACCATAATTTACATAATTTTGAGTAATGTCCCCTGTCTCTTCAGCTAGTTCATCTTCATGAATGAAGCCACATTTCTCTTCGCTTGTCTGCTCAGGGTCTGCCCAGGGTTGTTTCTCTCCTGAAGCAAATATGCCATAGAATATAACACCTCCATAATGAACTAAAGCAGCAATGAGGAAGACATACTGCCACTCTTCACGTGTCTGTAAAGAAGAAATTTGCTAAGTCAGACCAATTCATACACTTATCTAACTCTTCTGAGCTGAAAGATTTAAACTAGTGGTTAAGGCTGTGATGGCAAAACTAAAACATTTGCATATCCCATTTCCAATTAATTACGTACATCTTCCTTTGAAAATAACTATTCATTAGCATACAAAAGCGTTGACATTGTGAGCAAATAGTGAGTGCCACATGCTTCAAATTTGCTGGTTCCTGGATGCTCTCTCCTAGAGCTCTCAGTCGGTAACACATATTCTGGGTAAGCTGAGTAATGAAAAGGTCTTTTTCATGGAATGAGTTATATTAAACTGGAAGATTTGAAAACTGCATTGCCACTTACCTTGTTCTTTGTCATTGCTCCCACGATTATAGGGCATACCATTCCAGACAAGGTCCCGACTCCATTAGAAATCCCCATTAATATGCTGGCATACCTTGGGGCAATGTCTAAATGGTTGACATTGAATCCTGCAATGCAAACATCAGCAAACATTTGTGCCATAACCTGAGCAGTACTACACTTCTGCAAAGTAGTGTAAAGTAATTCACTCGACGGTTTTACTTAGATGTATTTTGGCTACTTATTTGCATTTATTTTTCTCTAAAAGGGTAACAGTACTTAAACACTCTTATGGTCCTCATTTTCTTTTAAAAAAAATCATAGAACGGTACCAAATATATTTTTCTTCCCCAAACTGAAGTTCTAAAATATATCCCAGTAGTAACTGTTTAGATAAACCAGAAGATATTTAGACAAACTCTGTATTTTCAGATTGTCATTGATGAGCTTTTCACACTGTCAGTAACCTGTTGTTTCTTCTTCCAGCCTGTGCCACTTCCATTTAGTACTGCCCATGTTCTTCTTTCACATGGACTAGCAGAAGGCAGTTCCCTACTGTTTCTGAGTGGTAGAGTAAAAAGAGGCTGTCTCTAAATGATTTATAATCATGCTTACAATCTTTGATTGTTTCCTTGCATTATCAATACCTCAATCTTGTTCAAATGTCTACAGTAACTATTTAAAATATCTTGAGAGACTTGGTTCTATATAAAGTGACTGAAGTTATTGTCCCCAGAATAAGTGCTTCAGTAAGTGAAAGCAGAAGCTAGTTCATTGGATATCAAAAGATAACAAAAAGAGAAAAGAAAGGTGTTTATAGCTGGATAGCTTTTAGAAAATAAGACACTCTCCATGTTCTATGAAAAAGCATTGAATAATGCGCAGAGGAAAAAAAAGTAAAAGGTCAGTATCTAAACAAAGACATATATGTAGGTGTTTGTGCATAATGTAGTTCATTTGTGCTATATGTTTAATTCTGAGGAAATCCTGTGGTGAGCATGAGCACCTCATGGAAAAAAAAAAAAAAAAAAAATTTGCTGCACTGCATATGGAAAAGATTATTTCAACACCAAAAATGACAGCGAGAAAAATAACGACATGATACTGATTGTAGTTTATAGTGATCACAAATAATATTTGAATTCAGAGATATGTTCTAAATTTTTGTCAATGAATACAAACGAAATGAAATGTTATGTCTCTTAAGATAAAATAATGCATTAATAACAGCAGTATAATCTTACCTGATATGGCAAATCCACTAAAGCCTACAGCAAGCACTAGGAATGAAATAGCCACTCCTTTACTGTGAGAATATCCCACCACAAGAAGAAGAGTTGCTTCCATACCAAAACCTTGGGAAATTGTAAAGAAAACCAGGCATCAGATTAGCACCCTCTCATGTGTCACAGACTTCATGGTGGTAATATTGCTCAAGAGACAGATGCAAAACATTACCCTGAAATGGAATAGAATCAGGCATTTCTTTCCTCCCTAAAAAGCTTGTATCTGATTATCTATATTTTATTGTTTATTGTTGCTTCCTGCCACCTTCAAACTCAAAATAAGAACTGTAATTAGGCTGGAACTAATGGGAGTATACCCTCAGCCTGTGATGAACTTTAAAGCTCTCATCACTGCCATGATTCATTTCTGTAAGTTTAGACTCTGAGAGGTGAGGTCTGGAATCTGGGCTCTCTTAGTGCAGAGGGCTCAGATACATGAGTATCTAAGACTCACTTAGAAGCTACTTGTAAGTCAAAAGAGCTCACCTGCTCCTGTAGTAATTGAAATGCTTTTAGAACTATCAAACATGTCTTTTGAAATTGGATGTAGGAACAGATGTGTTTATATTAATTTATTAACCACATCTACAACACACACAAAAAAAACAACCCTGAAGTATTAGTCGTATATATGTAAAACCATGCAAATTTAAAATATGCAGTACACTGTGTGCCTATTAAGTCTGTACAAGAAACTTTTCTAATGAGGTGGGAAGCCTTACCTCCACAGTTCATTATCTTTCTCACAGTGGTGGTGGAAAGAATTTGTTTGCTTCTTAAGAAGTCGGCAATTTGTCCCCCAATAGGGACAATAATTGTCATCACTAGATGTGGCACAGCAGATAAGATACCCACCTAAAATAATGATGAGAAATAACAGAGCCTAAATGGCAAGAAAACTGTCATTTTTCACTTTCAGAACCATTCAGACATTGTTTCTCTTTGATTTCAGACGTTTTAAAACTAAGAATTGTTGTTGCATTTCCCAAAGAGCAGACAGATTTTTAAGGGCATCCAATGCCTCGACACTTCGCATTTATAAACTGTTCTCACTGTTTAGATTTAAACCAGAAGCTTTTTTTCCCTGACTTTATAGCCTTTCCTTTTCAGAAAATTAATGATCTAATATGTCCAACCAAATTGCTGCATTTCTGTTGGCAGTGGACTTGGCACAGCATCACCCAGCAAAGCTAACATGTCCAGATGTGTGAGGTCTGCAAAAAGATTCCCTGTGGATCACCCTCGTACATACATTTTCCTTTGATTTCTCAGTAAAGATACACTGCAAGTGGCATCTGGACACAGGACCCCTCTGAGAAAATCTGCTTATAGTGAAAGATAACATACTAAATATCTGTTGGTGATACACAAAATGCTCTGCGTATTAGCAAACTAATTTTGTGATGACTGTCCCAAACTGTAATATATTTGTAGATTGTTCCTTCAAAGCAGTAGCAGGTATCTGTGAGCGTGGCTCCAGCTGCCACCCACTATCTCCTGTAACCACCTTGCAGATGGCTTCCTTCTGGATGTGTGACATTTTGTTCTGTGAATTCTGATTATTGTCTATATCTCAAAGCGTGTGCAAGGCCAAGGCTTTTGCATATTTCCTTTCTAAATAGTATATCAGCCTGTCCTGATGGCTGAAGTGAATTACATCAGTGTGCAGAGCAGATGCATTCCATGGGAATGGAAAAGTTTTCTCTGTGCTTTCACTGAACTTGTAGCTCCCAGTTAGCTGTTAACTATGAGTAAGTCCTGGTATTGCAATGACTACTGTGGGGTGTTCCTGAATAAGTGATAACTATTCCTTTACAAGCATCTGTCTACAGCAGATGAAGTGATGAACACTATGTTTTCTGCCATTGGTTACAAAGCTCCACATTTCTTTGAACACACTCTAAGAAAAAATCTTCTAGAACAAAATGACCAGATTAATTCTATACGATGTGACTGTTCTTATTGCATCCATGGCAGAAAATGTTTCAGCTGTAGCAAAGCTCTTTAAAATAACTCCAGCTACATTTACAATTCCACTGTATACAATTCTGAGGAGTCAGTAGGCTGGCCTGAAGTCTCAAGTACACGAACTAACAGATGTTTTGCTTTATCTATTAACATGCCACACAACACATAATGATTTGGGACTGAAATTCCAAATATTTTGTTTTCCATCCTGATGGAACTATCATGAATCATTTACACTTTTACTTTGATCTTTGCATGTAGTACAATATATAGAAAATGGTCTCTGAAGTGACACGCCAGTTCAATCCTGTTCCAGTCTTTGAACATTGGGACGTTATCAATCTGATCCTCTTTTTAAAGGTGGGCTTTTTTTTTTTTTTTTTATGTTATAGCAGGCTCACAGGGTTAGCTCAGAAGGCCTAATTTTTTGAGAAATTAATTTTGATTTTGAAGCCCATCTTTAATTTCAGGCTAGCTTTACATAATTTTGACAATACCCCATATTACTGCAACACTTTGGTACCTACTCAGTACACAATAATTACTGCTTGTAATGAAGATGCTAAGTCATGGCTTGATGCAGTGATTGAGCACCTGGTAGGAGGCAGGTCAGCTGCATGCAATGCACCTGAGTGAGCAGAATGGCTGGAGCCAGGATCCACTCCTTCCCAGACCTCATTTAAGAGTTGGCAATGGAGCTGAGGGTGTCTTGCTGGAGTTCCCTGTCTACCCGAGGCTTCTTTCCCTTATTTCTGTGTTTATGGCTGTTGCATTTGAACAAATCCTCACTGCAGCCTAAGACCTTGTATGTCTGCTGTCATTGCTGTGCTCTCCATCTTGTTTAGTGTGGTTCAGTACCACCTAGAATATCAAAAGTATGTGAATACTTGAAATATACAAGTCCTTATTGCTTTCAGAAGAGGGAAATCTATATTGGTAAAAAGCTTACTGTATTTTCCTGAGGCTTGTTTGATTGTGCCCCATTTAAGAGGCTGACTGAAAATTCATGAGCTAAGTGGAATGTTGGGTCAACCCTAAGGTATCATATTTTCCTGTCAACTGTTTCTCTTCCTAAGTAGAAGAAAGGATGCTGCTCTCCCCACACTAAAAGGAGGTGTAAGAAGGTGATAGGTTGGCAGGGACCTCAAGTCCTAATGCCCTGATAAAACAGGTTCCCTATAGCAGGTCGTACATGTAGGTGTCCAGACAGGTTTTGAGTATCTTCATAGAAGGTAAAGAAGGCAGAATGCAGAAGTTCTTGGGTATATTAGGGTGAACTTCCTATTTTCCAGTTCTTGGCTGTTGACCTTTGTACTATCACTATATATCTCTGAAAATATTCTGGTCTTGTCTAATTGCCTCTCAAACTTTCAATGTTTATAAACATTGATCAGATTCCCTCTCAGTCTTCTCTTTTCTAGGGTGAACAGACCTAGGTCTGTCAGCTTTTTGTCCTGTGGGATATGCTCCAGACCCTTTGACATTGCTATTATTTCACACATAGGTGCTGGTAAATGGCCTAGTAGCCACGAAGGATAAGATCTGAAACCTACAAAGAATAACCACATGAAAATGCAGAACATCAGGGTTTGTTTTTTTCTACCTATAAATACTACAAATGTGACTGATTCTTGCTTAGTGAAGATGAAAGATTCAGCTTGTTCTTACATACCTTGCTTATTTCAAATCCAAATACTTCCTCAAAGTAAGCAGGCTGACTAATAAGTAACAAGTAGAAAGTCCAGCTTCTACAGAAGTTTGCAACAATTATTGCATAGACTGGCATAGATGTAAAAAACTTTCTCCATGGAGTTTTGTATTTCTGAAACACAAGAAAGGAATACAGTCAATATTTTGATCAATAGTGAATATCTATCTCCCTTTTCTATTCCTACTTTTTACCTATTTTCTAGTAAGTTAATATATACACAATTCTACGTACTTGAATTCCAGTGACTTTAATTGTCCTAAAGTACATGCATCCACAATTGGATGCATTTTAAATCCACTTTAAATTTAATATAAAGACATAAATAAAAATTACACAGTACACAAGTGGGGAAACTCAGTGATCCTGATCTGTACCACAAAGTTCAGTTACAGATGCTGTTAGTTCTGTAATGTAAACATGAATACACAATGCCCAAAACTACATTTCCTTAAAAGAAATCTGTATCTAAGGTGTTACTTTCACAAGTACAAGTGTGCAACTACATGTTTTTTTTTTTTTTTTTCACCATATTATTACAAATTTTTATATGTAGAACTTGATCTCCAAAATTTGACTTTAGTTTCAACCAAGTCACAGCTGTGAAGCTGTTTGGTCGATATATTTTGCTTTGTTTTATGACTCTTTTTAAATGAATTGTATAATGAAAAAAGATGACAGATGGGCAGAACTACAGTCCTGCTGAGTGGCAACACCTCTCTGTGAGCTCAGGGTTTGTTCCATCTGTGTTGATTCAAGTGCAGGATCCAGATCCCAGTGAGTGTCTGAAAATTGCCTGAATATTGAGTTTTCTTCAAAAAAAAGTCCAACCCACTGGATAGAATCATAGAATGGCCTGGGTTGAAAAGGACCACAATGATTATTGAGTTTCAACCCCCCTGCTACATGCAGGGTTGCCAACCAGCAGACCAGGCTGCCCAGAGCCACATCCAGCCTGGCCTTGAATGCCTCCAGGGATGGGGCATCCACAACCTCCTTGGGCAACCTGTTCCAGTACTTCATCACCCTGTGTGTGAAAAACTTCCTCCTAATATCTAACCCAAACCTCCATATCTCAGTTTAAGACCATTCTCCCTTGACTTATCACTATCCACCATCATAAACAGCCATTCCCTCTTCCTGTTTATATGCTCTCTTCAAGTACTGGAAGGCTGCAATGAGCTCTCCCCAGATCCTTCTCTTCTCCAAGCTAACCAAGCCCAGTTCCCTCAACCTTTCCTCATAGGAGAGCTGCTCCAGCCCTCTGATCATCTCGGTGCCCTCCTCTGGACACGCTCCAAGAGCTCCACGTCCTTCCTGCACTGGGGGCCCCAGGCCTGGGCACAGTGCTGCAGATGGGGCCTCACAAGAGCTGAGCAGAAGGGGGCGATCACCTCCCTCTCCCTGCTGGCCACCCCTTTTCTAATGCAGCCCAGAACACAGTTGGCCTTCCGGGATGCAGGCACACACTGCTGGCTCATGTCCAGCTTCTCATCCACCAGGACCCCAAGTCCTTCTCTGCAGGGCTTCTCTCATGGGGTTTTTTGCCCAGTTTGTATAAACACCTGGGATTTCACAGACCCAAGTGCAGCACCCTGCACTTGGCCTTGTTGAACCATATCAGGTGTTCATGGCCCCACTTCTCCATCCTGTCCAGGTCCCTCTGGATGGCTTCCCTTCTTTCCAATGCATCGGCCGCACCGCTCAGCTCGGTGCCATCTGCAGACTTGCTGAGGGTGCACTCGATGCCCTCGTCTGTGTCGTCGATGAAGATGCTGAAGAGCACCGGTCCCACGACCGACCCCTGAGGGACACCGTTTGTGACAGGCCTCCACCCTGACGCAGAACCATTGATCACAACCCTTTGCCTGTGTCCGGCCAGCCAATTCCTAATCCATCCAACAGTGCCTCCTTCCCATCCACACCTCTCCAGCTTAGAGAGAAGGATGTGATGAGGGACCATGTCAACGGCCTTGCAGAAATCCAGGTAGATGACATCCATCACCCCTTCCCCATCCACCCAAGCTGTCACTCCATCACAGAAGGCCACTAGATTGCTCAGGCTCGATCTGCCCTTGGTGAAGCCATACTGGCTGTCTCAAATCACCTCTTTATCTTGTAACAAAGCTTCTAGGAGGATCTGCTCCATGATCTTCCCAAGCACAGAGGTGAGGTTCACCAGCCTGTAGTTCCCTGAGTCTTTCTTTCTCCCTTTCTTAAACATAGGAGTAATATTTGCCTTTTTCCACTCACTGGGGACCTCACCAGCCATGATTTTTCAAATATGATGGAGAGCATCTTGGCAACCACATCAGCCATCTCTTTCATAACCCCACGATGGATATTATCCAGCCCCATGCACTTATATACATTCAATTGCATGAGAAGGACTTGGATTTATTCCACTATGGGACAGAAACCACTCCCCACAGTGTCACCTAGAGGCTCATAGTCCTGGTAGACATGGGAAACCTGACCACTCGTGAAGACTGAGGCAAAGCACTCATTGAGTACCTCAGCTTCTTCTATGTCTGAGGAAGCCAGCTCCCCACTATCTTTCATCAGAGGGGGAACACTCTCCTTGGCCTGTCTCCTTCTGCCTATGTACCTTTTGAACCCCTTCTTGTTGTCTTTCACATCCCTTGCCAAGTTCAGCTCCATCTGTGCCTTAGCTTTCCTAATCCTATCTCTATGCATTTGGACAACAGCCCTGAATTCCTCCCAAGATACACAACCCCGCTTCCACTTTCTGTATATTTCCTTCTTTTCCCTCAGTTTAAGCTGCAGGTCCTTACACAGCCACGATGGTTGCCTGCCTTCCCTGCTTGACTTTTTCTGGGGAATGGAGAGCCATTGCGCTCTCAGAAGGGTGTCCTTAAAGAGCTGCTGGTTCTTTACGTATGCCATTTGTATACTTATCAAATTATACTTAAGAACATCTTGAGAACATTTTCATATGTAAACTATACATTAAAAAAATATTGCCAGTATTTCTAATTCCCTGTTTAATCTAGATTAAAGTTTTTTTTGCTTAGAGGAAATTCCTGAGGCTTGATAGCATGTCTCCAGCAGTTGCCTCTGTAATGGGGGATGTTCTTATGAATCTACTAGAATGTTCTATTTCATCTGGCAGTCTTTCCTTAAAAGCAAATACAGAGTAGACAGGATTTGCTATTTCTGATGTCCTGAGTTCCTTAAGGTGGTGCTATTCCTCTAGTTTACTTTTATGAAGATGAACACAATTCAGAAAGGATAAATTATGAACCACTTGAACTCAAGGTAGCATGAAAGTCTTAATAAGTTTTCAATTCCAAATGCAATTCTAGCTTTAGCTCTAGCTCTTTTTAAAAATGTATTTTACATTAGTAGAGAAAGACCAGACATGAATTCCATGACTGATCCTCTCGCACCTCTGTTCTTTTCATGCAGAAGCACTATTCACCAAGAAACCCTTCAGCAGATTTCAGATCATCCCCTGCCCCCCCCCCAGAAAAGTTCAATTGTTGTCTGTCTTAAAATATCCAACATACTGCTATTTTTATGTTGATTCATTTTGGTTTTATTTGTTTGGTTTTTATTGTTCCTATCTCATAGGACGTAAGTGTATGAATATTCTTACTTCCATTGCACCTAGTAGGTTGGCACTCTCTCCAATGCTTTCTTCTATGTATCGCCTTTCTTCATCTGTGATTGTGGGATGCTTTGCAGGACTCTCATACGAAACCAAAAGCCAAAACATGTACCAGACTATACCAAAGCTCCCTTTAGAATGGAGAAAAAGGCTTTCAAAAGAAATGCACAGTGAAGTAGCAAAAAAAGAAAATATGTGGATAATTGTAACAAATTTAAATTGCAAATGTTGTTACTGCTTCTCTACCAAATCATTCTAAGAGCCAAATCCTGTAAAAAACAATTCTGTAAGATGTGTGCAGAGCCTTGAAGACTTCTGTTTCATTTACAGAGTGACTTCACTCTGTGTGAATATCATTTATGTTCTAACATTAACTTGTACTATGCAATGATACAACTCCCCTTTTATGTTACATGTAAATGATGGTCTGTTCTGCTTTAAGCCACTATTGTTTGATTACTGCACTACATCTTTTTTTTTTTTTTTAATCTTCAAAGGACAAGATTGTGGCACTGTTTTCAACATAGTCACATACACCCTGAGTAGTTTAATAATTTTCTGTGATATTTCCCCTTAATTCACATCAATTTTTTGATTGAACACCCTTGGGCCATTTTTTTTTTTTTTTACTATCAGTGTAATTTAATGTAGCAGAACTACTGTGGGTAGAGGGGTGTACTCTTAAGTTACAGTTCTGTAAGAGTGATGTTACCTCTGAGAATCTGGGTTTCTATAGATTTCCATAGCAGGCTGCACTACTACTAGAAGTGATGGTTTTTCCAGTCTTGTTTGATAATGTTGCTCTCCTTTAAATTCAGTTCATTTTCTTTTTCTCAAGACTGCATTTTTAGATTATGGAGACATTCCTGTTTTGGAGGGGCCTCTTCATGGTTACTTTTACATCTCTACATGGGGTAGAGTAAGGTCATGCAATACTGGAGTGAGATGAGAAGTGCATACCATACACATAGAACACCGAAGACCACCCCGTATATTGCACTAGAATCCCAGCTAAAGGCATTGCAATAACAGCTCCTGCATAGGAACCTACAAAACAAGATATATATGGATGAAAAAGTGAGGAAATTAAGTCTCAAAGTACTCCTAGGTTACAAATGAAAGCGAGACAAAAATGGAAAGTTACTTACCACAGAAGGAAGTGGTTGCTAACCTACTTCTTTCTAATGGGGGGGCCCACTTGCTCCAAATCCCATGGCAGGCAGGGTAGGTGACCCCCTGGGAAATGGGCATGCCACAAGTTAGATGATGCTGATCAATCAAGCAGTTCATTTTTCTTTTTTGTGTGAATATTTGTTTTAACACTGCTACAAACAAGGTGCTGAGAATGCTTTACATTCCTACAGCAAAGTCTGAGCACAGCCACAGGAAAACTTCAGTTTCTATTAAAGCTACAGTGGGTTTTGTTCATCTCTCCTGATCCATCTCAGAGGGCTAACGGTGTAGATACAAAACATAAATATTCTTTTTTATTCTGCCTCCCAGTTCCCAGGGCAGAATGGTGAAGAAAAAGAGAATACAAATGCACAAGTATCAGAATCAAAGGAGGGACAAAGGATGGCCTTCCAACATTCCAAATACAATTTAGCAAATAGAGTTTTCTTTTCCGTTGCTCTAAAACAATCAAATAAGATCAACAAGAGTTAAAAAATATAATGTCAGAAGTAATTCACTATCTTTTAATGAACCTTTCTGAGCTCTTAAAGAATTGTGTGGTGTTTTTTGTTTGATTTAAAAGGAGTTACCTTTTATGTCTTTCTTTAAAACCACCCTTTAACTCACAATAGGAAAACTGCAAGGAAATCACTGCATCTTACAGGGTTGAAATTTTAGGAAATGTAATATGAAATATGCTGTGCTTTTTCCCAGAATTCGTGCTTGAGAACTACTGTGGTACTATTCTCTAAATAGTTATATACAGCCACTTTTCTCTTTATTTGATATTTTATTCCCTCTGAAACAGTAGGAAAATGTTGAGTTTATCACTCTCATGTTACTAAAAGCTCTTCAAATGCTTTCTTTCATTTTCAAAGATTTTATAACCAATTTAATGTGCACTTCAGTTTTTGTTACTTAAGATCACATCTTTTTAAGACTGCCATGATGTATTGTAATCCTTCCTCAAACAGTACTGCATGAGCACCTTAGATTTACCATTCCTTTCAGCAGTATCACAGTAATTAATGATGAAAGAGCTATTTTATTTTGTAGTTAAGCACTTGCATCTGTTTTTCTCCTCAGTGGTCAAGCACAATTATGTCCAAGCAAAGTACTTTTCAGGATTTCAATATTTATACACTTATAGTGCACATAGAACTTAAGTGCAAGCCCTCTAACTTCCAGGTATATTCTGTACCTTCTTTTTGAGTCTTAATAAACAATAAAGTGCATAAAATAAAGTGAGCTTGCACAGCCCTTGGGGAGAAAGAAGCAGGAGTCTCATGCCTAAAGTCTGAAGTAAATTTAAATTTAGAGGACAAGCTCATTCTTTTCCCCTCTTCAATCACTGTAGAACTCAAATTGATTTCATCAAGAATCTGATCAGAGAAGCTATGAGAGGTCAGAGTCTATGTGAGAATCTTCATTCATTATTACAGATTTAGTTTGCTGGACAGCAAATAACTACTGAGTATAACAGCAGTGCAAGGCCTGTGCAGAACAGGATTTCAGTAAAACTTCAATGTTAGTTCTTGCTGGCTTCTCAGCAAGGGGAAGCTTTTGTAATTTTATAGGTATAGGAAAATCAAATTGCTGTAATTGTAAAAATTGTAACACTGTACTAAAAAGTCAGGAGTAAATTGGAAACTTTTTTCCTCATCAAATGAGATGATTGCTGTTTAAATGCTAATAATCATTTGCCAGTAATTTTATTTTTTCATACCTCTACAAGGCCCTGCAGGATCCTGACAAAGATGACACACCCGTAATGCACCCTGGCTGCAGATGGTATCAACATGTTGAGGGAGGATGTCAGCAGTATGGCAGCACCAAATACTCTGCAAGGGTGAAAAAAAAAAAGTAAATGAAGTAACTTCTGTAATGTTGCGGAAGACTTATTTCACAGATGTTCACATACCAACACAAATAAGTTTAAATGTATGAAATTTACATAGGGAATATGCTAACTGCTGGGCCGGATAAGCATCTGCTTTCATTTGGTCTTATAGTCTGTGTGATAGCACTCAGACCAAGCACAGACATGCAGATATCTATTTTGCCTAGTGTCTTGAGTAAATACGTCTTGTGTAATCACACCTGTATCCTACTCTTTATACTGCTCCACTCTTCCCTAATTTTTACTTTTCTTTCAACCAAACCTAATTCGATTCTCTAATATCTGGAGAAATTAGAACTCCAAATGTTTTGTTAAAACAGGTAGCTGGGCATTAGAGAAACTCTCATAGGTGCTTTAATCATAAGAAAGTGGCAGCACGTGTTCACTACTTCTAAAGTAGAATCCCCTCTTATAAATGCCAAAGCAGCAGGAAGAATTTCAAACAGAGATGTAATGTTCTTAAACACAGGAGCATTTTCCATGGGGAATGAATTATCCTTTCTGTTGTTTTTCTCTAGGGGTCACTTACTCATAGATTTTGACTTTGACAGCTTCCCAGCAATTCTGTTGTTTAAAGTACATTAAGAAGTACAAACATGAAATGAACTATCATTTTAAAAAAAATCCACTTTAAACTGTCCATTTTCTTTGTACAAAGTCATGTAGTGCTAAGAAAAATCCTGAGTATGTGTTAACATTGTGGTATCTGATGTGGAACTGATTTGACAGAGCCCTCATCTGTTCAAAACTACAGCCTGATGCAAACACTTAAATAGCAAGCTGAATATATTCCATATATAAAAGTTTGACAAGTAAGAAATGGCAGCCATACAGAGAAACACTGCTTGGCACTTAAAGGAAGCTTCATTAAACAGCTTCAAACCCGATCTCACTGTGTTCCCTGCACTCTGTATCTGATGGCAGACACGATTTAGCTCTGTGTGCAGCTTCCTCCTGCCTTCATCTGGCAGCATGAGCAGTGCATTTGCTGGGCCTGACTGGTGTATGTGTTTGTGTCAGCAGGTTTGGCCTGACTTTGGTCATTATTCTTAATTTTTGTCTGTTAGTTGTTCTTTTGTAGCTTTGTGTCAGTGCGTAGCCTTGCTAGAGCTAGTATTAATCAGCACAACCCTTTTAAAGTCACTGTTCCTAGCAAAATCATGTTAATATAGAACGTGAATTGTTCTCTTTATAAGGATGAGATCTTCGAAATTGTTATGTAACTGTTTATTCAAGGAAATTTAGTATAGTTTTTCACTTCTATATCTGGAATCTGCTTCTGTTTGCCGCAGTTGAAAGCCGTGTTTCCTAGAATTTCTTTGTTCTCATGTTCACTAAAAAGTAGCTGTTTCCTTGAATCTGTTCCTTCCAGAAAATAAAGCAAAATGCAATTCAGAGAATGATCTGAGTCATATATCTTCCAAACAAAAGATCTTGCCTGTACTTAACACATAAGTACTAGTGAACATTCAGTTACACTGAGGACCAGATAATAGAAGAACTCAACAATGTTTCTTGGGCGTCAGCTCTCTCTCAGAGCCATGCTTTATCAAAATCTTTCTCAAAAACAGATCCGTAATTTTTCTTCCAAATAGCTATGGAATTGAGGTTAGCATAAATAAGAGTTAAATTTATGATTCTTGTCAGAAATGTCGCTCTAATTTGCATTCGAGAAAAAAATTAGAAACTACAATTTTAGTGCGTCTGCTGTAGAAAGCCCATTTCCTCTGTAACTCCCAGTCAATGGCAGATGCATCTTTCATTTGGTTTGCATTTCTTTGCATTTCTCAGTGCACACTCATAAATAACATTAGTTTTTTGCCTTCTTACGTTTATTCCCCCCCCTCCCCCATTACAACTGAATCCTTTTTCCTAATGAAGTATTGTGATATGCTTCTGCTTTTTTTGATACAGATTTCCTGTTTATTGTTTTAAATATCTCAGCTAACTATATTTATAATGATTTCTGGCAAATAAGAATGCATTTCTAAGGAATTTTACTCTCCCACACACCAAGCCCCTGAATTGTATTATTTCAGTTCTTACCATTTTGTTGCCTTTATTAAGCTACTGATTTTATGACTTCTTTACATTTTCTCCTCATCCTAACTACTCAATCATCTGCATAAATCTGATGAAAAAGGTCAGACAGATTACGTATATGTTAAGCCATGTTTTTCTGTAGGATCCCCGTGTTTCCATAACAAACAGACACGTAGTGTTCATGATTGTACTTACTGCAATTGAAAATGATTACGTTTATCTCTGAACAAACATGATTCTCTTTGAAATGAGACCAGCATGCAAAGGGACAAATATTCCTTCCTATCCAACACTGCACCATTCTTTTTATACGTGTATGTGTCTGTCCTCTTAATATTCTGGTATCACCTTGAACAGATCAACATGACTCTCAATGGATACAGTCTTAAGCTACCATGCCTTCCCACGCATTCCTTTGGCCATGGCTTCTGCAGCAACATGGACTTGTGCTGAAGGCTTTATATGTCAGGTACAAATATGCCAACATTTCTTAAAGAGGAAGCCAGATCCTGCTGTATTGTACTGAGACCAGCTGAGGAATTGCAAGTAGCTGTGCTGTTGAATTTTCGTTCAGAGGTGTCCATAAGCATTTGTTTCATGCTGGGCATGCTCTAAAAAACACAAAACATATCTAAATTCCATGGTATAAATTAAGAGCTTTAGTAGATTTAAGGTAAAATCTGGGAAAAACTGCAGCAAGCCACAGAGATGGAGCAGGCCAATGACAATGCCATTATTCTCTGCCTTGGCATTAGGAGGGAACTAAACTGTTGTGATATCCCTTCAGCAGCCCCTGGATAGGAGGGAAAATTTTTTTCTGATCCCAAAACAGCAAGTGGTTTAAATATATAGAAGAATTTATCCATGCACAAAGGACAAATTAATAAACATGGTAGTAGTATGTCAGGGAGGAGGTAAAAATGTAAATCCTAGCCCACAAAAGTGACTAGAATCCTTGAAAGAAAGAATTATGCTTTGCTTATCTATTTCCATTTCTAGACTCAGTAGATTCAGTCCCAAAAGACAGGATCTAACATTGAACCTCAGTGTTTTACTGACAAAAGCATTATACAGAGGTTGTGAGCTGGGACTTGGTCCTTCTGTAATACAAGTAGGAGTAACAGCAAAATCATATTTGACTAAGAGACATTCAGGATGGGAACAGAGGAAGGAAATGACTCTGACAAGTCAGGAGAAATACTTAGAATGGAATGAAGTTGTGGGAAGAATTAATCTTTTTGATTTTCAAGCCAGTTGGCTCATTTTCCTCTTTGGGGAAAAACTAAAGAGAAAGAAATGCACTTATTTTCACCTCTGGATTTCTAATCTCTATGAAGTCTCACTATTCACATCTGCTTTTTTCATGCAATCCATATTACATGAGCATTCTGCATGGAAGCGCATTATAGATTTGGTTACTTGGTTGAAAGAAGTGTCAGCTTATAAACTGAACTGAGAACAGTGGGAATACAGATGCTTGCCAAATGCTGAACACCAGATGGGTGACATATTGGGTTACGCATATGATATCTGAAATTAAGGACTCCTGGTTGGAAGCATCCTTTTACCCAAAGGACTGGGAGTGAAAATTGCTCCAATGACTCCATAAACCTAGAACTCTTTTCCCATGTGCATGGTAGGACTCAATTCCCCAGCTGTCAGAATCTAGTGCATTTCATTGATGTCATTCTTTAATGTCACTGAAGATTTAACATTATGTCTCCTTATTCTCAAATAATTGTGGTCTACTTTCATTAAAAATAAACTGTTAGACAAAATAATATGTCAAATCTAAAGCATATGGAGTACCTTAACTAATGTCCATTCTTTAAAAAAGGAAAAACAGATAGCTGTGTATGTTCAAAATAGTAAATTTAGCTATTTATTTCAAGAAGAAGGTGCTTTAAGACACTTAAATATATGCATTATGAATGAGTTATGAATGTCACGTCATTAAAATCCCAAATAATTAAGGAATAGTAAATGCTGGTCACCTAAGACTACAAAACAAGATGATGTATGCTTGGATGGAATAAAATTGGGAGCTATGAGTGCATAGAAGGTATCACATCAGATTTCGTTATAAACTAAACAAGTTTTCAGTGACTTTACTGGAACAACCATCAAGAACAGTAACTGAGTATTTTTCACCTCCGAAAAGTCAATGATCATCATTTCACCTAAAGCCTCTCTGTAGAGTAAGAAAGTTTGTTGTTGTTGTTGTTGTCATGATTTCTTAGGGGATCTTGAAGAAGTACAACATTTCATACTGCTGTGGTAAATTAAATCCGTTGTTCTGATTGAAAAGAGGAACCTATGGAAAATAAAACCCATATTCCTTTTTGTGACACACGACCTGTCTACTTCACAATTTTACAGTAATACTGATCACGTTATAAGGACTTGACTTTAATTTGGTGAATTATTGGTATTGAACATTTTATATAAATTATTATCTTCTCTTTTAATGCTGTCTGAACTTTTTTAGTGGTTCAATTAATTGCTTTTAGCACCTTGAGAATATTTCTTTGCATGGCTTTTTTGTCATCATCATGGATGAGTTAGTATGATCACCAGTATTTAATGACTCTTCATTGATGTGAATGCTTTCCCATTTTTTCCCACAGTCCTACAACAGCTAAGCCAGTAGCAACTGAGCACAAGTCTTTCATATAGGCAATTCTTCATACAAAATCCAATATTTGGCCACTAACGAACACAGAATATTTTTCCTGGTCTTAGATGAGATCCCTCTGTTTAGCGAGGATGTAAACTAAAGAGGAGTGAAAACATGAACATTTCTTGAAAAGCTTTTCCAGTGTAGCCTAAAAATATTATTGCCATTTCCTTCCTTACAGAAAATAATGTATTATGTTGATGAAAGAAAACTTATTTTAT